AACCATTCCGAACAGCCATCACGTGCTTTACAAAGGACACATAAAAAAAAAAAAATATCACAGACAAAGGACAAATTAATACTTCATCATTTATCACGAAAAAGCTGCAAATGCTTTAATAGAACATTTAACGGTTGGTTTGGGTTTCCCACAGTAAAAAACCATGTCACCCTTCGTCTTCAGTTGTTTCTTCATTGCCCTGTTTACATACTTAAAATAATAAATTGTATAATGAATAAGAAGTAGATGAATAAGTAGTAAGTTATGACTGTGACAGGATTGTGATGGTTGTGTCTCTCTGTCCAAACAGCTCCTATGTTCAAATGAAGGCAGCGAGAAACAACATGTTGGGCTCTGGACTTTCTAACGCGAAGGTCAAGTATTCACGACTCGCTGCTGATGAGGACGGTTACATCGATTTACAGGTGAGGGACTAGTTCTTCTTCTTTGGCAAATCCACAAACCTCACATGTGTCATGCTGCTCTGTGGTGGCTGTGTTTGTTGGTTTTTTATATTAGCCTGGTAATTACTAAGTGATTACCCGCCTCGAGCGCTGGATTTGAAATAAATCTGTATTAATGACTTCCTGGTTATGTGCCAAAGCGTCTTGTGGTTGAAGCAGAGGACACATGACGAAGCGCCTGCAGCAGAGCAGCTCAGTTAAAGATCTGCTTCTGTTAAAGACATTTTCTTTTACTTTGATATTTATTATAAAAGTGATGCATCTTGTTTGTGAGCACACATCTTTTACCACAGTTAAACTTTAGTGTCTGCAGTTATTAACTATTACCACCTTAAAAAATGTCTTCTATTTTGTCCAACATCATTTTCCAGTTCAAGAAAAGTCCCCCAAAGGTCCCGTACAAGGCGATTGCACTCGCAGTATTCCTGTTTCTGATTGGCTCTTTACTCATAATCTTCGGGGCCCTTCTTCTGTCAGGAACCATAAAGGTGGAGGTGAGTTTGTGCCACACAATCTTTGTCTCAGAGTTGATTTCAATGGACTGTGGTTGAAAAATGTCCCGACAGCAGCGTCTGAAAGGAAGAAGTCCAGCTTTATTTACAGGCTGTGTTCCAAACATGTAGAAGAAGCTACAGTCGGTTTGTTGGTTTGTTCTTTCTACATATTTGTATGAATATTTCTGCACCTGGAGCCACTCTGGAACTTTAAATCCTTTACTATTTAATCACAGAAGAAAAAACGACTTAATGTCTTTGCTGTTTGAAAGTTTTCTTCTCTCACGGCTGCGGCGGTTTGATATCCAGCTCTAATTTTTGACAGAGAACCAAACACAGCCGTCAAAGTTTCAGCTCAAGTTTTAATTAAAACACTCACACTGCAGTTAATCTTGTTTTTAAATGGCTTTAATTAAACAGTCTTCCTGACATTTTATTGCGTTGCTCCCAGTTTTCTGCTGCACTCTCGCTTTAAATGGCCAGTGTCTGTGTTTTGATTATAATGATTTTGATATTTTTCACCTCTGGAGAGTCAACTTTGGTGGATTCCCCGCTGTGCCTTCTGCTTCTCAGATCCCACACTCCACGTGGGAGACGACAGAGCCTTCACATATTATATTTGTAATTATCAGTAGGAGGTAAATGGGAATGTTTTTAGCAGTCTGTAGATTGTGTTTGCAGAAAATTTGATCTGACATCAAGGCAGCATCAGAGTGTCTGAGTCGTATAGTTGCCAGTTAGCCCGTGTGGGTTAAAGTAGCATATCTAATACCGCAAATTACACAGGCCTCCAGCAACGCATGATGCACAAGCAGTTTCTACAGCTCGCAAGAACTTATACTCAACCCTTCAATCCTCAACCGATGCGAATAACAAATCACTTACTAAATAATCGTAGGAGCAATTTTCACCTTCGCCAATAGATCATGTTTTTAGGTGCAGATCCAGGATTCTATTTTTTTAACAGTGTTTCATGACAAATAAATCCTTTGGATTATCAGACCTCATTACTTTTATATTTTCTACTATAAGAACGAGACGTGAGGGATCGTTGTGCCTCGGTGGAGGTGACATTCTGCTTTGCTTTACTTTTCACCTCATGAAGTAGGAGTCAGATCTTATTTGTTACTTGTTTTTATTCTTACCACTGATAAAAATATCCTACGTCCTGCAGTACAATATTTTCTTATTAAAGAATCAGAGTAACTGTGTTTGTTTCAACCCTGCTTTTGTACAGACAGAGGGTTTGTAAGTATTGTGCATTCATCTTCAAGGTTTTATTCACTTCCATTGCTGCAGACGAGCTTCACTTTCTTAGACCTTTATTTTTCTTTTCTTTTTAAAATTAAATGTTACCTCTTGCCGTCTTAACCATTTAAGATTCTTCACTGGACCGCTGAACATTTTGATAAATGCTGTAAAACTTTAACTCACGGCCTTGAAGCTACGTGAATATGGTGCCCGTTGCCATGGCTCCTCCCGCAGCATCCTTGAAAGAAGAAGTAAGAGAGGGTGAAGTGACTTAATGCACAAGGCTGCCATCTGCTGGTGAAGAGAGTTCAGACTGTGCCTTCTGGTGTTGAGCTTGTGTGTGTGTGTGTGTGTGTGTGT